TGCAAGTAGTATTTCAGAAATGTTGTATCTCAGACAAGAGTCTTATAACAAAAGTTTACAGAATACTCCTGGGCATCCACAAGAAAAAGACTGATAACCCAATTACAAAATGGGAAAAAAAACATGGAAAGAATTTTCACAGAGGAAGATATTCTAATGTCAAACAGACACATGAAGAAATGCTCCAAATCCTTGGCAATAAGAACGATGAAAATCAAAACCACAATGAGGTACCATCTCACTCCAGTAAGAGTAGCAAAGTCTAACAGAGCAGCAAGTAATAGATGTTGGAGAGGATTTGGCGACAAAGGAACTCTTTTTTTTTTTTTAAATTTAGGTTGTTTATTTTTCATTTCAATGAACATCTACAGAGATTTTGGAATTCCATTCATTCATTGTGTCCCTTCTCTAAACCTAGCACAGTGCTGAGCAACAGCATGACTTCAATAAAGGAACTCATCATTCCACCAGGGACCCCCCCCCCCCCCCCCCCTCCGCCTGCCCCTTCTCATTGGTACTTACTAATAGTAGATATCAAATCTTGAAACCTTTCCTTAGGAAAGAGTGGGTTTTCCAGTCCTCGGAAATACAGTTTTAAAACACCAGCGACTGAATTGATGTCTCGTTCATTTTGATCATCCACAAGGGGGTCTTCACCTGAGTGGGAACAGAACGTGCTTCAGCTTGGTAAGTAAGGAGGCAGAGAGCGTGGTGACGGCGGGACACGTGTTCAGGCTCAGCCTGAGTGGGAGGAGTTACAGAAGGACAAGCTTCCTCCACACGCATCCACTCTCAGCAAGCTTTTCCTATTAGAAGGCTCAGAGGGAAAGAAAACTTCTAAACAAAAGACTGAAAAACAATGTATACAGACTTTGTAAATAAGCCAGTATAAAATTTAAAAAAAAATTAAGAAAAAGAATATCCTAATTTCCATTAAGCAACTATTACAAATTGCATTCTATTTATACTTGTTGCTGCTCAATTATTTTATTTTTGTAGATCTTATAACAAAGAAGTCCATATGAAACGTTCAAACACATTTTTCTCAATAAGGATGTACTCCTATGTAAGCAATAAAACAACTATACCTATGAAAATTAATGTTCTTTGTTGCCGAGTTGGAATTGACTCATAGCTGACCCTACAACAGGTTTCCAGAGGCAGTAAATTGCACAGGAGGAGACTGCCCATCCTTCTCCCTGGAGCTGCTGGTGGACTGGAACTGTATACCTTTGGGATTACAGTGCAACTTCTTACCACTATGTCACCAGTACTCCTTTGAAAGTTAATAGTAGTTACAAATATCATGTAATATGTAGTTTACATTCAAACACTTTCATTAATTATAATTTTTTATGAACAAAATCCAATGATAGTAAAAGAAGTTCAAACTGTGCTGGAGGCACTGGCAAAAAATAAAGCCTCAGGAATAGATAGGATATCTTTTGACATTTTCAGATGCAATCCTGGATGAGTCCACCAGTCTATGCCATTTGGAGGAAATCTGGAGGACAGGTGTGTGGCCCACTGACTTGGGAATGTTTTCATGCCCAAGAAAAGTGATCAGAATGTGGAAATGATCAAACAATATCGTTAATATCACATGCAAGCAAAATATTGCTGAAGATTATCCCAAAAATGGCTTGAACAGTACATGACAGAGAACTTCCAGAAGTTCAAGCTGGGCCATGACCAGAAATATTACTGATGTCAGATGGATCCTGGCTGAAAGCAGAGAATATCAGAAGAATGTCTATGTATGCTTTATTGACTATACAAATGCATTTGACTACATGTAATACAACAAACTATGGCTAACATTGAGAAGAATAGAAATCCCAGAACCCTTAATTGTGCTCATGTGAAATCTATACCTAAACCAGGAAGCTGTTGTAAGAATGGAATGAGGGAAGACTGCATGATTTAAAATTGGGAAGGATGTGTGTCAGGGTTCTATCCTTTCTCCATACCTATTCAATTTGTATGCTGAACAAACGATTCATGAAATGAGACTCTATGAAGAAAATGACATCAGAGGAAGACTCATTAAAAACCTGCACTATACAGATGACACAACTTGATTGCTGGAAAGGAGACTGGAAGTACTTGTTTCAGAAGATCAAAGACTACAGCCCTCAATATGGTTTTCATTTTAACATCAAGAAGACAAAAGTCCTTACCAATGAGCCAATAGGCAACATCATTATAGATGGAGAAAAGATTGAAACTGATAATGATTTCATCTTACTTGGATCCAAATCAACACCCTTGGTGCCAGCAATCAGGAGATAAGGAGATGTATTACTTGGGCAAGTCTGCTGTCAGATTTTGCTTTCCAAAATAGCGATGATAACAGTTTGAAGACTAAGGTGTGCCTGGTTCAGGCCATGGTCTTTTCAAATACTTGCTATGCATCTGAGGAGTGGATAATAAATAAATATGATAAAAGAAGAATCAATGCCTTTGAGTTTTCTTATTTGAGAAGAGTAGTGAATATCTCATGGACTACCAACGAACAAATAGGTATGTTTTAGAGAAGGTGCAGCTAGAGTGCTCCTTAAAGACAAGGATGGCAAAAGTTTCATCTCTCATACTTTGGACATGTTGCTAGGAGAGGCTATTTTGTTAGAAAAGAATATCATACCTTCCTAGAAAGAGAGCTATCCACTGCCACATTGACCCTGCTTCTGCTCAATATAATAATAACTCCAATAGTCCCAACACGATTTAGTGCAAATTAGAGAAAAGGCCTCTTCCTGTAGCAGGTAGCCCTACACCAAGACTCTGGGAACTCAGTGTGTGAGCTGTGTTCAGCTTCTACCTGCCTTCTTGGAACTGTGTGGAGCGTCCTTGACCACCTCCCAGATGTCCCTCCTAGAGAAGGGAAAAATGCTTTCCCCACAGGCTTGTTTGTGAAGATGAAAGAGAGAAAACAGTAAAAAAGTAATTTTTGTTTTTTTTCTGTATTCACATAGCACTTATTTGCACAGTGCCAAGGAAGACCTCCTTGGTTTCTCTCTTCTTCAAGTGAGCTTGGACACGATACACAGGCACTGTAGCTCCAGGTTTTATAACATCAGAGAGATATTCTTACTACCTGTGGTTTATTCATCTATCTGCAGCCTGTCTGTTTACCTGCTTATCTGCTGTCTATCCTGCAGCCTGTCTGTCTACTCCTTTTGCAGCAGAATTTCAACATTATTCCTCCTCTCTCACTTTGTAAACAAAAGTGTTCCTAAGAAGTTTTAACAGAATTGTCTTAGTTGAATGGGTAAAAGAAGGGGAACTCAAGCCTCTCTCTTCCTGAAATGGCCCTTAGGAGTTTGAATATTCTGCAGTATACTAGTCTGTTTTGACAGTATTCATAGGATCTTCAAGGGCCTGTTATTTCAGAAGTGGATGGCAAATCCTGCTGCATAGCCTGTCCATTATGATGGGTGCAGAAAAGATTGAAATTGGTCAGGATTTAATCTTATTAAGACTCAGCATCAACATTCATGGTAGCAGCAGTCAAGAAATCAAAAGACATACTGCACTGGGAAAATCTGCTGGCAAGGACCTCTCCCAAGTGCTAAAGAGAAAGAATGTCCATTTAAGGACCAAGGTGTGTCTGACCCAAGCCATGGTATTTTCAATTGTTTCGTATGTTTGTGAAATTGTACAGTGAATAAGGAAGAGTGAAGGTTTAGTGTTGTGTTGGAGTATAGTACCGAATATCGCATGGACTGCCAAAAGAACAAACAGGTCTGCTTTGGAGAAAGTGCCATGAGGCTCCTTAGAGGCAAAGACAGTGAGTCTTTATCTCATGTACCTTGGGCCTGTTGTCAGGAGGGCCCAGTCTGTGGAAAAAGACATCATGCTGGGAAGAACAGGTCAGTGAGAAAGAGGAAGACTCTCAGCAATGTGAGTTGACGCAGTGATGCCAACAGTGGGGTTGAGCATAGCCGAGATGGTAAAGAAGGTGCAGGACAGGGCAAGATTCCAGGCTGTTGTTGAGAAGGTCACTATTAGTTGTTCTTGACACAACTCAATGGCACTTAAGAACAACAGTGGCAAATTGGACTGCTTCCTTATTAATGCCACAAATTATTCTTGTGGCCTCATGATTCAAAGGCACATCAATTTTTCCCTCTCTATAAATGATCTCTCACTGTTAAGTATAGATAACATAATAACTTAATGTGTGCATATTTTGCTATGCATTGTACTCAATTTGATGGCACCTAACTACAACAATACATATTTACTTATCAAAAAACCAGTATCATTGATAGGACAAAAAGATTTGAGGTTATCATGGATTCCATTCTACTTGAACCAACTATGAATGTTTATGGTAGCAACAGTCAAGAAACCAAAGAACTTATTGCAAACCTGCTGCAAAAGACCTCTTCAAATTTTCCAAAAAGCAAAGATGACCCTTTGATAACTAAGGTTCCGGATCCAAGCCAGGGTCTTTTTAGTGCTTTCATATGAATGCAAAAGCTGGACAATGGAAAAGAAAGACAGAGCAGGACTGGTGAATTAAAACTGTGCTCTTGGCGATGATTATTGATTATAATGTGGTCTTCCAGAAGAATGAGTAAATCCATTTTAGGAAAAATGCAACCAGAATGCTCCACAGGAACAAGGGTGGAAACACTTCAGATCGTTTACTTTGGATATGTCATTTCAAAAAGAAAGGACATCATGGTGGGTAAAATGGAGGGTTGAAAAAGGTGAGGTAGACCTTTGAAGATGGATCAACATAGTGTCAGAACAAAGGTCTCAAATATACAAATGATTTAAAGATGACACAGGATCAGGTAATGCTTTGTTCTAATATATATATGGTTGCCTGCCATGAATCAAAGCTAATTCATCTAACAACAATGCATGCATATTCTCTCTCTCTCTCTCTCTCTCTTTCTCTCTCCTCTCTCTCTCTTTTCTCTCTTCTCTCTCTCTTCTTTCTCTCCTCTCTCTCCCCCTCTCTTCTTTCTCTCCTCTCTCTCTCTCTCTCTCTCTCTCTCTCTCTCTCTCTCTCTCTCACACACACACACACACACACACACACACACACACTTTTTGCCTCTATCCCTCCCTCTCTCTCTTTCTCTCATGCCATTTCTCCCAGAAAGCACTCAGTTCATAGAGGTGAAGGTGTGCAGTAATTTGTGCATTCCTGCCTCCCAGCTGATGCACTGTTTCATTCTGTTATGCATAGTGTCACTACAAGTTGACCTACTTAGGGCACCTCAAGGACACACAGGCACGGCTTTCTGCATGGCTAGCAAAGCTTGACTTGGAGAAAGATGAACTATCAGAATCCACGATGATAAAAATAGTTTGTATAAATGACTGCTGTCTCCAGGAAGAAAATGAAAGGTAAGTATGAGAGAAAGCTGTGTTTATGCTTTTCTATCTAGTATTCAGTAGTTATTATTGTAACCTTGAGGAGAATAGGAGTCCCAGAACACTTGATTGTGCTTATGCAAAACCTATATGTGTGGACCAGGAAGCAGTCCTCTGAACAGAGCATGGAAACACTGCATGGTTCAAAATCAGGAAGGGAGTGTGTCAGAGATGCGCCCGGTCTTCATATCTTTTCAATCTATATGAACAATAGATGATTCGGGAAGCAGGGAGGAGGAATATGGCATCAGGATTGGAGGAAG